AAGGCGATTGCTAACAAAACACTTTTTGAGGTTGTCTGTGAAATTAAATGTCATCACACCGAGCATGAAAACTCATCTACTCACTAGTCACTTTCAAAGTTTAATTTTTTATAACCAAACCCTTGCAAACTATTCTAATGCAAATTTTCCAATTTGTAGATTTTAAATGAAGATTAAAACCCCCCCCCCCCCCCCCCGTATCTTCATCTCAACAAAATTTAGAGCACACTGACCCGACAATCTTAATTCGACAGTAAGGGAGGGTGCTCTCACCCGGGCGTATGTGTTACAGTACAATAGTCATAAACCCAAACGCTGTAACTACCCTAGACTGTTGAGCACAGGACTATTAAGCGTTTAATCAGATTAGGGGAGATGGGTTAATATCCCTCTCATGGAGCGCTAAATATAGCATATTCAAAGTGCCGCTTAACAAGAGGATAATGTTAGCTCTGCCCAGCCCCCTACGTTACACGTCCTCAGACCCAATTTCTCATCCAGTTGAACCCGGAGCGCAAGCTAAGCTAGCATACTTATGCCAAAGCGGGAGCTAAACTGTTTAGGCTTCTATTAACGTTGGGAGTTAGCTAAGTTAGCTCCCTTTGCCTCATAGCTAAGGTAGGGTGACCATACGTTCCATTTTCCCAGGACGCGTCCTGGCCAGGATTTTTATATTGCCTAAAATATCTAGGTTTTGGCTTTGTTTGCGTGTGCAGACCAATCGGTGTATGACATCAAAGTACCATACAGACAGTTATGCTTTCGAAACGCTCTCGAGGTACTTTGATGTCAAACACTGATCGGTCTGAGCCACACTGCTTTTAAGTGAGTGAGTGAAGTGACATGTGGCCAAGTATGGTGACCCATACTAGGAATTAGTGCTCTGCATTTATCCCATCCAAAGTGCACACACACAGTACACTGCAAAAACTGCTTTTCCAGCTTAGATCTTTAGCCAAAATATCTAAAAATTCTTAAATCAAGAAGGATTTTCTAGACAAGTAAAAATGATTGTCTTGTTTTCAGTTTTTTCAGTTTGAAACAAGATTATTTTTCTTACCCCATTGGCAGATTATTTTGCTTGTTTCAAGCAAAAACTCACTTAATTTTGACTTGTTTTTTCTGAAAACAAGACAATAGGTTTTACTTGTCTAGAAAATCCTTCTTGATTTAAGAATTTTTTGATATTTTGGCTGGAAACAAGACAAAAGATCTAAGCTAGAAAAGCATTTTTTGCAGTGTAGTAAACACACACCCGGAGCAGTGGCCAGCCATTTTTTTGCTGCGGCACCCAGGGAGCAGTTGGGGGTTCGGCACCTTGCTTTCGGCACCTCAGTCGTGGTATTGAAGGTGGGAGAGAGTGCTGTACATCCACTCCCCCACTTACAATCCCTGCCGGTATGAGACTCAAACCCACAACCTTGGGTTATAAGTCCGACTCTCTAACCATTAGGCCACGTCTTCACCTAATATGTATGCGTAATTGCATCGCTTTGACCGTAGATCCCACCTTCTCACACGCCATGATTGGTCCATTATGTATAATGCTTGCATGTTATTGGTCAAACTACTTTTCGATCATTACCTTCAGCAAGCATGAAAACAGGAAAACAAAGCCAAAACAAATCCTGGCCAGGACGCATCCTGGGAAAATGGCACGTATGGTCACCCTAAGCTAAGGTAACACTCACTGTTTACTTTCATGCATTATAACATGAATTTTTTTTGTGAGTTCCCTGAAAATCAAACTCCATGACCTTGTTGTATGTATGCGCCACACTGAACTATTTAAGCTACAGGAACTCAACAACAGTGAGCTATATTTTTTTGACAAATGACTCATCCTCAGCCTTTTTGGGCAAGAATGTTATTTTTCTTCATAAAAGTGCAGAATTTTATCTTCCAACATAAACAGAGGGAATATTAACACTTTGTCTGAACCACAGTCTAAATATTAAAAGCATCCAGTTTAAACCAGCCTAAGTTGGTCTACTGATCTCCCAGAATGTCTTTTAAATTCCAATTCAGTTTTGAATGGTAGTAAACAAGATGCTGATTTTCAATTTGAATTTGAATGTAAAGACGAAGAAATAAAATGCAAAAGACTTTTATATATAAGCTTATCAATGCAAAGTTTGTTGACTTCACAGTCACGTTTGAAAGATTTGAAAAAAAGTATTTTTAAAAGTTTGAAATGTCACCTATTGAAATATGTATTTTATTACATTTTTAAATGTTACCATTTAACTTTTGTGCACCAGGGTGGAAGAACACTTAAAGGGGTCATATGATGCGATTTAAATTTTTCCTTTCTCTTTGGAGTGTTACAAGCTCTTGGTGCATAAAGAAGATCTGTAAAGTTGCAAAGACTAAAGTCTCAAATCCAAAGAGATGTTCTTTATAAAAGTTAAGAGTCAACCACGCCAACCTAAATTGGCTCGTTCTAACACGCCCACGTGTCTACGTCACGATGTGGGAAGATTTGCATAACACCACCCAAATGTTCACGCAAAGAAAGAAGGCGTAACTTTTATTCTCGCTGTAGTATTGTTGCTGCCGCCATGCCGTGAAGACGCGTGTGTGTTTCGTTGTGAAAGCGAAACTACTTTGTTAAACAGGTAGATTGGTGCATCCTTTAGCCAACGGTGATGTGCTCTAAACAGACTGGCCATCTGCTACTCTAAGCATAAGACATCAACGGTTCAGTTACGGTTGCAATGCAACAACAAATGCTGGGTTTTTTTTATTTATGTTAACAAATTGTTAATTTGCTACATTTGCAAAATGCAGATTTTTTTTAACAGTTTCCTGATGAAAGGACCATCTTATACTGGCATTTATGTCTGGCTTGTTCATGCTAGTAAGTGCTAGTGTTGGTCTAGCATACTTTTAACCAGCAAAACCATCCAAAACAGCAAATGCTGGTCTTATCAGCAGGTCATGTATTTCATGCTGTGCATTGGTTTTGCTAAAACCCCACAACAGGAAGAGATAATCTATAGACAAACAACAAGAGATCAGGGTTAAATAGTGGCTTGTGTTTTTTTTGAAAAAAAACGCCGGGGAGCCAATGTAACTTTTAAAATCACCATTTAATGAGTCATTCATGTTTGCAAATACATGACACATTGCAATATTGACAGTAGTGAGCTCAGAATATCACATCTGAATTCACATAGAAGTTTAATTTAGAAGATAAAACACACATAGACTGAGACATTCACACTTGTGTGGGCACCCAAATGCAATGATTCTAAATGAAAGTTTACACCAACGTTTGTTAAGAATTTGCTGAACTAATGCTTGGTCGGGTCTTTCGACTCAAAAAACACAACAGTACTTTTCACAGCATTAGAGTAAGGTCCTAACCGAGACCTTAGCACAAGCATCACAATGTACAAAAATAGCAGAGATATGATTATATGTGACTGAGTGTATGGGAGGAATGTGTCCATCTTTGTATGATCAGTTAGGGCGAATTTATCCATAAGTACATGTGACATTCTCAAGCCCTGTCCCAACTTTCTGTCCTGTAGATTTGTGGCAACCATTGCATGCATGTGACCATATAGAGTGTCCATTTTTTTTTATTTCTGAAGGGTGCTCCTGAGTGCCCTTAATGCCCCCACCCCCCTTTTGCTCAGTATGCACCTTTGGACTACTACCGGACAGTCTATGCAGCATTGCATCACCAGAGTGTAGAATCGGCCGAGGACCGCAAGGGTTTAGGGTATCATTCGGGACAGGGCCTTAACATACACCCATTTCAGGCACGTGACCATAAGGTGTCCCATTTTTGATTCTGAAAGGTGCTCCCAAGTGCCCCTATTGCATCACCAAAGTGTGGAATTGGTAGCATTGGGGACAGGGCCTTTACCTATGTCAAAGCACTCAGATTCAGACTCAATGGAATAATTGAACTAGGGGAATTGTGTTGCATTAAGTTCCAACAGCATGTAGATGCTTTAACATCAAGTATTGTTGCTTCACAATCTTGAGGAATATCATGAATATCTTTGGTATATGTTCTGCTTCCCTTAAATGAGCTTCTGCTATGTCTCTGCTGGTCTTAATCCCCCAAGTTATGCACGTCAGATGTGTCAAAGGTATAATCTCTGGATTTGGTGGCTGTGTAATAATTAGGCCTTCAGAAAGACGCCAGGTAACCTGGATATAACAACAACAATTTGGACTTAAACATCTTTCATTAATTCTCTTCCTGTTCGGCCTCGATCTGTTTTACTTCTTTGCCTTAGATGTAATGGCATTGCCCTGGACATTTTAATCTGAGCTAAGCCAGCACTGAGCCAACAGTACATTGAGGTCAGTTTAGATGAGACAAGAAGCTGTGAAAAACTCATATGTACAGTCTTACACACAGGTATACGACTCTTGCCAGTGCCTCAGATGGAAAAAGCTTCTTATGCAACACTTTCATATAGGCCCCTAAATGAATACATTATAAGAAATAGGTCTTGCAACTACATCGGTTGGAAGATCATGATCAAGTGGCCTTTAAAACTCGTCATCCATTTGCTATTGTACACTACCTTCATTCATATGTGACTCCAAAAAGAGGTCTTGACTAACATACTTTGGGGTCAATTGCAGAGTGACTTAAATTATTTTTTTTTTCAGTTGAAGGCACTTAACTGATAATCTGTTTTGGGTATCTGGTATCTATGAAAATATCCTTGGCTTGAGAAAAGTGTCCATTGATTGCAGTCTGATAGCATGAGTAATGAGCATCAAAAAAGTTCTCTTGCTAATCTATCTGCCCTTTCAATACAATATGCAGGACATCTTTGATTCTTCATGTATGTCTATCACACACATATGTACACAAACACAAAGATAGTCCCTTTTGTGTCCGTATTACTCTCACAGAGTTTCCATGTTGTTTCCTCCTACTGTAGGCCTGGCACATAGCCATGGAAAGCCTAGGTAGAACGTGCTGCCCGATGGGAATGAATCCAAGTTACCTCACTCTGCATCAAAAAAGTTCTCTTGCTAATCTATCTGCCCTTTCAATACAATATGCAGGACATCTTTGATTCTTCATGTATGTCTATCACACACATATGTACACAAACACAAAGATAGTCCCTTTTGTGTCCGTATTACTCTCATAGAGTTTCCATGTTGTTTCCTCCTACTGTAGGCCTGGCACATAGCCATGGAAAGCCTAGGTAGAACGTGCTGCCCGATGGGAATAAATCCAAGTTACCTCACTCTCCCTCCCTTTCTTTCATCTGGCGCGCTTGTAGCTTCTCCTTGCAGTGAGCTGGCAGCAACCAGTTTGGAAAGTCTTGAGTTTTCCTCACACTGTAGAGCACACAAATACAGACTTGCCAACTGGTCTCATTGGGCGAGTGCTCTAATTAGACATGTTGGACAAAATGTGAGTTAACAGTTGGTCAGTTGCAGGGCAACCATGGTGAGAATGTGTGGACGGGCTGGCAGGCATAGACTGGTTGCACCTGAGCAACATAGTAATTGCTAAAGTTGCCATCTGCAATGTACGGTGCAGGTTGGTAATAGCAAGTGACGTTAGCCACATTGGGAATTACATTCTGCTCTGCCAGAACACGTACCGCCAACATGGTGATGAGGCTCAGACTCTGTCGCCGTTCGTGTCCCATCAAGCATACTGTACTTTCATCGACGACACTGTACAGGGTGGTCAGGTACTCGTATTTCCGGTCCTCTAATCGCACAAAGTGATTCTGCAGATACGACTCTAGCTTGCGCCTTTGTTCCGCCACATCTGAGAAGTCGATGAAAAACCGGGAACACATGTAGCGTTCGAGAAGCTTCATCTCAGCTTCCGAAGCTGCGCGGAAACCTCGCACCAACAGGTGGCAGTACTTCAGCAAGCCGCCCCCCCGAATCTCTTCTGGATTTCGCGTGCAGATCAGTTTCCGTTGCAGGTGGTCCAAGGCTACGTTGAAGTCTCCGTAAACGCTCTCTCCCACGATGGAGGGGTGGAATGTCTCAGCCATGGGGTTTTCAGAGCACTCGTAGAAGAGGAGGAGGGAGTCCAGACGGATCTGAAAAGAGTCAACGCTGAACTCAAACTGGCGCCGCAGGGAATCCACAAACTTCAGTTCGACGTTCTTCCCGCTGTTGTTGGAGAGGGAGATTAGACTCCAGCGGTCTGAATCATTACAAACTTTCACCATCTTCTGCACGTAAGCCTCCTGAGGAAAGAGAAAAAAAGGTTTGGAGGAGGACAATGGGAGCGTGAAGATTTGTTCAATGAAAATTGTTAAAATACATTAAAAGATGGAGATGCACAAAAGGGTACGTGGGTGCAATGTGAAATGTTTAAGCAGACAAATAAATAATTATTAAAAATCATTCCCCTCTGCATTTGCACTCTGAAAACAGCATACTGTCAATAGCAGAGGACTACAGCTGCTATATTTTTCATTGTAAAGTGACTTTGCATATCCAGTAAAGGCATTCCATTGCATCGCTATTGCTTTAAATTATATCAGCATAATTTGCATACATGAAAAGGCTGTCTGTGTGAGGGAGTGAGGCAGACGTGTGTGAAATTATGTGTGTGTCTATGTAAGACTAGTTGGTAACTGTGTGTATATAAATGACTGACCGTAATGTCAGGTCAGGCTAGATGTCACCCAGAATCTATCAGGGGGACCGGACCTGCGTCACAGCGGTAACAGCCAATAAAGTAGGATTATTCTAGATTACCCCCTACACCATGACTCTTGGACGCACTTCTGAATGTTTGAGTGTGTGTGTGTGTTTGAGAGAGGAAAAGGAGACAAAATGTGTGTTTAGTGAGAATATGGACAAAACGAATTTACTAGAACTACACAATGCATGGCAAGGTTGAAAAAAAAAACATGTCAAGAACACTTACTGGACATTTCATCTCATAATAAAACAAAAATATATTTTGCTTATAAGAAAATAAAGACTGTGTATCAAAGCATATTAAATGCAAAGTTGACTGGAAGGAAGAAATTGGGTAGGAAAAGGTGCACAAGCAACAGGGATGACCGGAAGCTCTGTCTCAAGATCTGTCAATCTTAGGATATCTCTTGCTATTACCTATGAAAAAATGAGAGAAACATTTTTCTATACATGAAATACTAAAGCAAATAGACATATGACGATATATTTTCTTTGTGTTTTTGTAGCTCATTATATTTTTATAACAATAATAAAGGGTGTTTATGAAGCAGATCTTGTTCAGTCCATAAAACATACAAAGAGTGCTTTTCTGCCTATAATAGAATAAAAATCAACTTTAGATCTCAATCGGAATTTATTACAAGCACTCGATGATGGTTTAAAGTGGATTTTAAGCAAAAACATAAATAATTGCATACATTTTCAAATGTAGCTTGATGCTAATTGTACCTCTATTTATATTTTAAAATGTATTCTTGTAAGTATTACAGATAGTTTGTTTCTCTGGTGCAAACTTTATTTATCTTAATTTAATGCTGTATATTGCCACCTAGTGTGCAAGCGTGAATTAGCAAAAGGCGATCAATTGCTTCGCGCTCGGTGTGAAAGCACTGTTCGTTGTCGATTCGCATTGCGTTTTCGCATGTGAAATGACCTTAAGTCAAATGATTCGCAGTCCATGCTCCGAAGACCCAATCTGAATCAAATAATTTGTGATATGCTCTCCGAAGTCCCAAGCTGAGTCAAATGATAATCCCAGTTTAAATCAAATGATTTGCAACATGTGCTCTGACATTCCGATCTGAATAATGATTCACGAACCTGCTCCAAAGTTCCTATCTAAATCAAATGATTCATGATACGTGCTCCGAAGTTCCGATCTAAATCTAATTTCGCGATCCGCACTCTGAAGTTACGATCTAAATCAAATGATTTGCCATCCGCACTCTGAAGCCCCGATCTAAATAATGATTCATAAACCCACTCTGAAGTTCCGATCTAAATCAAATGATTCACGATACGCATTCAGAAGTTCCGATCTGAATGATTCGTGAGGCCGCTCCGAAGTTCCGATCTAAATCAAATGATTCGCTATCCGTGCTCCGAAGCCACGATCTGAATAATGATTCACGAACCTACTCCGAAGTTCTGATCTTGATTCGCTAGCCTGCTCTGAAGTTCCGATCTAAATCTAATTTCGCGATCCGCACTTTGAACTTCTGATCTGAATCAAAAGATTTGCAAACTTGCTCCAAAATTACGATCTAAATTAAATGATTCACGATATACACTTCTAATCTGAATCAAATGATTCACGACACGTGCTCCAAAGTTCCGATCTCAATAATGATTCACGAACCTGCTCCGATCCGATCTAAATCAAATGATTCACGATCCACGCTCCGAAGTTGCAATCTAAATCAAATGTTTCGCGATCCATGCTCCGAAGCCACGATCTGAATAATGATTCACGAACCCACTCCGAAGTTCTGATCTTGATTCGCTAGCCTGCTCTGAAGTTACGATCTAAATCAAATGATTTGCCATCCGCTCTCCGAAGCCCCGATCTAAATAATGATTCATAAACCCGCTCCGAAGTTCCGATCTAAATCAAATGATTCACGATACGCACTCAGAAGTTCCGATCTGAATGATTCATAAACCCGCTCCGAAGTTCCGATCTAAATCAAATGATTCCCGATACGCACTCCGAAGTTCCGAACTGAATCAAAGGATTCATGAAACAAGCTTTGAAGTCCCGATCTTAACCAAATGATTCGCGATATGGGATCCGATTCGAGCACTTTGAAACAGTGAATAATTTTGCGACACAATGGTTTTACTGATTCTGAGTTTGAAAAAATCCATTTCACCCATCACTATGTGCTTTTTAAAATCATTACAAGCATTGTCAAAATTAGAAGATGAATGGCTCTTTTGATCTGATTTTTGCTAGTGGATAGCTTGAAAAGAACAATCAAAGTCACTAATATGAGTTTAAATCAATCGGAGCGGTTCCAGCTTAAAGACTCACTTAATTGAATCGGTTTGTATGTTCCTTCGCTTTTTGCGACCTTCAGCCATGTTTATACGACAAAGTCAGTACTACTGCTGGCTTAGCTCAATAGTTTATGACATTAACTGAAATAAGTGGAAAAAAGTGATGTTTACAAATAAAGTATATTTCCATTCTGAAGATAACAGTTTTCCATGTCGAAACATCCAACACAAATCTATAATCATATTCAGGTGAGGTAACCAGTTTACTGCTAACTAGTGAAAACAATACATAAGGAGCTGCACCTCAGAATACATGATAGATGTAAACAATGTGCATTATGATCGAGTTTGTAGCTTAATTCACTATATTTTAAATAGTTTGACCACTGCTAGAAGTTTTTTCTAATTAGCTCACAATGAATATGTACAAAATGCATTGTTTATTGAAGCCACTACTGTACAGATAAGTGCATTATCATTTTTCATTTGTTCAGATATCTGTCCCTATCAGTTTGACAACTTCCAGAGATCTCGATAGCTTGTTTTGTTGTATGTTCTTGACTGGTTTGTGGTTAGCTGTAGCTTGAAGTGTACGTGCTGTGTTTTCTGCATCTGTGTGAAGTGGGAGTAAAATGTGGTCAAATAAAAAAGAGGTGTGACATTATAACATAAAATGCATAACAGCTCTTCATAGATCAGAAATAAAGCAAATAATTTTACCATGTTTTTGGAAAGTTTTTCAAATGACAGACATACAGTATTATTCATAAAGAGACCTGTGCCTGACTATTGTTGTTTTTATGTGGACAGGCATGTGACCTGCAACTGCTTTGACCTCTTTGCCCTCCGTCCTGCATGGGGAAGTGTGTCTTCCCCTTACCAAGGCTGATCCCGCAGTAATACATCTGTTTTTCTTCCAAGGAACTGCCTCAAAACAAGGCTTAAGCAATCAGGCAAGATAAATATATACAAACATTTTATGAAGAAGTATGTACAACATTCATATTTAAACTTGAAAATATGCAGTTATTACTGTACCTCACAGACCCCTTTGTTGGTGTAATTTCCTGTAGTCAGGTAATTAGGTCATGTTAAAAAATATTTCTGATATAAATCAAACTTCTTAAAATTTGTATACATTACCTAACAAGCAAATTTTTTTAGGAACATGACAAAAACATTTAACAAAAATAAGATTTTTTTTAAAGACAGTTGTGTTATTTATTTATTTATTGCCATTATTATTTAAATTTTGTTTAAAATAAAACATTTATATACAATAATATAAATAACAAAACCATTAATTGTCATGAAATGCAACGCAAAGTCCTTAAAATATGCTTAATTCTTATACAAACTATAACAGCTTTCTATATATATATATTTCTAAATATAACATTTCTCTTTTAATTTTCTCAAAATTATAAGAAATTGGATATTTTACTTAAAGTAAATGAAGATTGTGATATTATTCATGCAGTTGTGCATTTTGACGTTATTGAATGCTTTTTCAAATATTAATATTTTAATATGAATAATACCTGAGTGAAAAATTTAAGGGGGTCTGAATACTTTCCGTACCCACTGTATATGAATAGCTCAGATGCAAAAGCTTCTAAGTGCCAATGAAAAGAACCTATTTATTGCCATTAAAGTGAAATTACTGAACATAAACATAGGAGCCTGAGAAAACTGCTTATTTTAGAAGAAAATTTCTACATTTCTTTCATGTGTCTTGCACTGAGGAGAGGCTTCCTATATGCACACACACACACACACATACACACACAATAGATTTTTACAATAAACTGCACAGGCCAAACCATGCTTATTAATATGATATGACTTCAGTACAAAAAAAGCAATCAGTTTATATAAAATGTTGTTTGAGTTGTTTATTTATCCTACCGATCCATAACTAAATGGTTAGTAGCAGTTATTTTTATTTTAAATTTCCCCCAGCAACTGTTTTTTTTTTATTATGACTAAAAGTAAATCGCCAGTGATTCTTCAATCATTCTTCTTCTTAATTATTATTATTATTATGAATTATTATTGAACATTTCAATGAAGTAGTGTTGTTCTGATACTATTGTCTGCATGTTGTGGAATATGGACTGACCCCAGCTGAAGAGTGGTTGCTTATAGCAACATGAAGAGGAAGGGAAATGGCTTTCGCAGTTCTGCTGAAATAGCATGTTCTCACCAGATTCTGTTTCCTGGTGGTGTGTGGTTTCACACTCACACATAAACA